CATAAGACAACAACGCGCCAAATCGTAGATCGCCATACGTAGTTAGCTTAAACGAGAAGAACACGAAATCGAACAAAAACAGAGTTAATTGTAGAATTAGTGAGGAAGAGAGAGCTACCTGAGATAGATCTTGTACTTGTTTTTCTTTACTCTCTTTGGAGAATGGACAAAAAGTTTGTTGCGCACCCCAAAGTCCCTACAATGCCAAGGGAGATGCCAAAGTTGCCTCTGCCATGAAGCCAAGCTCTTCGACGCCAATGATGATGATGATGAAGAACTTAGCTGCCTAGAAGATCCTAGTCCCTACAACGCCAAGGGAGATGCTTTGATCGGCATGATGCCTCGGCTTCTTGATGGGTTTGACGAGGTTGTGGTTGGCAGTGTTTCGGAGCCAGAGGCATCTAGAAAGTGTGTTGTAGGGAAGGGTGGCCCTGGGGATGTGGCGGTTGCTAGGGACAAGGGGGTGATTGGAGGTGATGTTGTGGACACAAACAAGGGCGAAGGGGCGGATTGCTTGGATGGGAACCAAAGCACTTAGGTTTTTGAGTTTTATCAAAATCAATTACAGATTTTGTAGATTTGGGAAAGGGGCGAAACACCTAGGTCTACCTGGGGAAGGAAGCTCGGGATTAAGGGAGAAAAAATTGGGAATTTGTGGAAGGAAGTGAAAATTTCTACTGTCGGCTGAATGGGTCTTTGAGTTTTATCAAAATCAAATACAAATTGTGGAGATTTGGGAGAGGGAAGCTAGGGATTTCGGGAGGGAAATTTGGGAATTTGTGGAGGGAAGTGAAAATTTCTATTGCCGGTTGAATGGGTCTTTGAGTTTTATCAAAATCAAATACAAATTGTGGAGACTTGGGAGAGGGAAGCTAAGGATTTCGAGAGGGAGATTTGGGAATACAGGGAGGGAAGTGAAATGATTGTTGCAGTACAATTAGCTGAAATTAAAAAGCGTTTCAGATACAACGAATTATACTGACAAAATACAGTAATCCGTTTGTATAGATATACTCTATACAAACGGATAATCAATTAACCGTTTGTATAAACCTATTCTATACTAACGGATATATTTTTTTGTTGGTATAAACTAATGTATACTGACTGCTCCAATTTTCTGTTGGTATACATAGTTTTATACAAACAGATTCTTGTCCATTGGTATAGACTTCCGTTGGTATAAGGCACCTTATTTGTAGTGAATGTTTTTCTCTTAAAAATAATAAAATTAATTTTTATTTTAATTACAAATGTCATAGTTAGTTTTTTATTGATTTATTTTGAAATTAAGATCAAAATTTATTTATTTTTAATTTAAAATCTTATTTTTTAAAATATTATTATTACTATTACTTAATAATTAAGTTTTACCCTGTGTCCTGGACCAAAAAACCGAGTTACAAATGGTGGTTATCTTTATGAAAGCATTGATGAGTTAATTGTCAGTGGCTGAAAATATATATTGTCGGTCCAACCAACTCACCTTTCTTTGAGATAGACGTTTTTTATTATTGTCCACAAATAGGGTCCATTTGGAATCATTTCAGACCATTCATGTAAGCTTCTGATCTTTAAGGAATCGATGAAATTTGTGGAAAGGTGAGATTTTTTTTTCACTTTTTTGGATTCTAATGGAAGGATGAGATAAACATAATTTAATTTCTTGTCCACAGTCTAGTCATCATCAATTCAGACATGCCAGAATTTAAGATCTTGCGAGCAATTATCTAATAATGACGTGACTAGACAGAGAAGGCTACTGACCAATCTCCTTGTGTGTTTGCCGGTTGAAGACCGGTACTGCAAATGATTCTCTTTAGTACTACAACCCTTCTTATATTAACTCATAATTTCTCCCAGAATGATTTGTGCCCTTTCATAATTTCGTCCTAATCCCCATTTTACCTTGGAAGAATTGTTTGTAGTACACTTCTTTTTTTTTTTTTTTTTCTAGTGGCCAAACATGGAAGGAGGTCACATGCACGGAATGGGTGGCGCAGCGGCGGCGACACCACCTTCGTCAGCCATGAACGGAACCTCAGGGATGGGAATGAATCATCACCACATGATGATGCACATGACTTTCTTTTGGGGCAAAAACTCCGAGATCCTTTTCTCGGGCTGGCCCGGAACACGCGCGGGAATGTATGCAGCAGCCTTGCTCCTCGTCTTTGTGATTGCTTTCCTGATCGAGTGGCTCTCGCATAGCCGGTGCATCCGGCCGGACTCCAACAACGTCGTGGCAGGCCTTGCGCAGACGCTGTTGTATGGTCTTCGTGTGGGTCTCGCTTACCTGGTGATGCTAGCCGTCATGTCGTTCAACGGCGGCGTTTTTCTGGTGGCTGTCGCCGGCCATACTTTAGGATTTTTCCTTTTCGGAAGTAGGGTTTTTAAGAAGGAAACCCTGCCCAATGAGAAATCCTCTGATCTTCCTCCCATGAGTTGCTAATAATTCAGAAACTTGGATTAATTACTACTTTCTTTTAATCGAATTATTATTTATGCTCTTACATAAATATATCTGTTAGTTCAATCATTTTGAGTGATGAAATTGATGGTTTTCCGCCTGCAAGGTAAAAGACCATTGATGTCCTTGTGAATTACTGTATTGTTTATGCTCCTTAGAAATATACAGTTAGTTCAATAATTTTAAGTACTCGTTTTTTGTCAATCATAAATATACAAATAGTGTATTGGAAAAATAACAAGGTGGGGGCAAGGTAAATTAATGTAGATTCCAAGAACTTGAATGCCGAGATATCAAATTGTTGCCTTTTTTACCAAAAAAAACTGATCAATCTCCTTATGGTGTTTCCCAATTGAAGACTATACCACAAATGATTTTTTTTGGTACGATAGTAATGTACTACCATCTCTTCAATCTGGAAACCCTAATTTAATTTCTCTTCTTATATTACCTCAAAACGGAATTGTTTGTGCCCCTTTCAAAATTGATTTTCAATTTCATAATTTTGTCCTAACCCCAATTTTTCGTTGGAAAAATTGTTTGTAGTTTTCATTTTTCTGGTAGCCAGACATGGAAGGTGATCACATGCACGGAATGGGTGGCGCGGCGGCGACACCACCTATGCCAGACGTGAACGGAACCTCAGGAATGGGAATGAATCAACACCAACACATGATGATGCACATGACTTTCTTTTGGGGCAAAAACTCGGAGATCCTTTTCTCGGGTTGGCCCGGAACACGCGCCGGAATGTATGCAGTAGCCTTGGTAGTCGTCTTTTTTATGGCTTTCCTGATCGAGTGGCTATCGCATAGCCGGTTCATCCGGCCGGATTCCGCCAACGTCGTGGCAGGTATTACGCAGACGCTGTTGCATGGTCTTCGTGTGGGTGTCGCTTACCTGGTGATGCTCGCCGTCATGTCGTTCAACGGCGGCGTTTTTCTGGCGGCTGCCGCCGGCCATACTTTGGGATTTTTCCTTTTCGGAAGTAGGGTTTTTAAGAGGGAAACGCTGCCGTATGAGAAATCCTCTGATCTTCCTCCCATGAGTTGCTGATAATTCAGAAATTTGGATTAATTACTGGTATTTTTTAAATTCGTAGTATTGTTCGATAATTTGAATAATGAAATTGATGCTTTTTCGTCTGTAAGGTAGATTTTTTTTTTTTTAAATCCTTGTGAAAAGACAACTATAATTAATAAATTTTCTTATATTTATGATACGTTAAAAGTATTTTTATCTTTTATAACATAAATTGATAATTTTTTTACCTATCTAAATTATAAAGAAAATTACTGTCATGCACTTCAGATTTAACTATACCATACGGAAGAGGTGAGTTTCTGGTTTTCCATTTTTTTTTTTTTGGTAACTTTTTTTATTGAGTGATTCTGGATTTTTATTTTTATTTTTTTACCCAAAATTTCTCCTTTTCTAGTGGTTTTCTGGGCATTTCCTTGGGCCTGAGTTACGAATATACAGTTTGGTTATCATCTTCAATGTCAGGCGAGAGCCAAAAGCCCATACTGTCTTTTCGGAAAATGTTTCGAGAAAAATGCATGCTTCGATTGTGACAATCTACGGACCCAAGGCTACTTTCACATTGTATGATGGACTTATATATTTGGGCCTGGTTCCAGGTAGTGGCCCATTCTGTATCGAATTTTATATGATCTTTTTCTTTGTCTTTTTTATTTACACATATATATACATTGGCGGTAATCTTTTTATATTACTTTTTGATACAATTTATCATTAAATAAGTGAATGCATTTAATATTACGGTCCTCCATGAATAAAAAAAAACTAATTATTTAAATGACACGTTAAGTTATGTAAAAAAATAATACAAAAATTATTCCAAAATCATTTCCATGTATATATAAGGTTATACAAGGAAAAATAACTTCTTTTTTTTTTTAAATTCTACTCTCATATTATATCATTTAAATTTAAAATATTTTATTTAAGAGATTGTTTTGCTTAAATTGTTGACTATCTTTTTTCTTTTCTTTTTTTTTTTTTTCTTTTCTTTTTTTTCTTTTCTTTTTTTTGTGTGTGTGGTAAGCATCAATATAAAGCCAGCTAGTAGCCACCGGCACCAATAATACATTCACATTTACAAGTACATGTATCGGTTTACAACTATCAATCCTTATCACTTATTAACCCTTGCAAATTATTGATTTTACAGTTTGAGGAGACTGCTCTCATGCATGCTTTCCAAAAGCAAATTTTGTGACCGATATACTTGTCAAAAAACGGTGCATCAACAGAGGAACACTTTGTTTCCTTTTATTTTGTTCATGTATTTTGTTGTTCATGTTTCTCCCATGATATTTATGGTTGCACTGTACATCAAACTACCTTTTGTAAATCTAGTTAGTTTGCTTTATGAATAAATTTCCGTTTGCACCAAAAGAAGTTGTTATTCTTTCTCAATGTCCCCAACATGTTAAACTATTTTGTGTTTTAGATATTATGGGGTTTGAAGTCCCCAGGACTCGTTGATGTACTGTTTTATTTCTGTTTAATGTTATCTTACCCTCTTTTTACCAAAAAAAAAAGAAGTCCTTAATTATTGATTGATAATTTCAAAACTAAATCAAACGTAGCTTTTATTTTCATAGTTGTCAAATCATCTGCAGTTTTGGTTTTGACATCCCAACACTTACAATAATTGCTAACTCATCTCCGCATGGGATTGGCAATTGCACCTGAAGACCAGCTCAATCATAGTACAAATTCCATCACCTTAATCCATAAGGCACGCAGATTCATTGGTGCCAAAGTTCCAACCAGTGGACGGTGGACCCCAAATATATATCAGCACCTGCGACACAAACCAATCTCCCTCGTCAAACTCTTATCCACCATTTATCACTTCAAAATTGGTATTTTTAATAAATTTAAAAAAAAAAAAAAAAAACAAAATGTATATCTTTATTTATATTGTATTTTCTTGAATCATTAGTGCCAAAGTCCCAAGTAGTGATCCCCAACTATATATCAGCAACTGCTACTTAAACCAATCTCCCTCATCAAACTCTAATCCACCACTTATTCCTCTCTCTAAAACCGCCATAATTTTATGGAGTTTCATTTTCATCTCTTCTTCCCAAAGTTTTCCATGCCACATGATTAATTATCATATGAAGAGGACTTGGGGGGCAATACTTACGGTTTTTTTCCATATAGCTACTGTTTTTGTCTGTAGCTATATGGGGGATTTGCTGTAAACCTGTCTACAAACATTAGTTATTAAATTTATAGATAATCACTTGCTCATTCGTCACTTTATCAACCTTTAGATGAACAAGACTACCATATACCAGCGGATGCTGATCAGTAAGTTAATGATAAGATCACTTAGACTGGTCTAGAAAAAAGAGCGTAATACAAGTTGCTGAATGTGCAAAAACTTAGATTAAGAATATTCAAAGCATAATTAATTAATCTCTAACTTATTTAATCTCGATCCCATTAAAAATTGCAGGCCCTTACAGGCGGAAGACTTGAGAAGGCATACATAAGATTCCAATTCCGGTCATTATGCACAACTTAACTGTTTAAATTTCTAAACCCAGTAAAAAAATGCTTAATTATTTATGTTTCCATGCCCACAAAAATATAAATAAATCTATTTTTTTTTTATGTGCATAACTGCATCACTAATTACTTTAAAAGATACATAAAGATAAAAATATATATATTAATCTCTAGGTCAAATTGAGTGTGTTCCACAAATTATTTATCTAAATTATTAAGTAAACTTTCTAGTAATTCTAAATAGGAAATGCGTGACATATGATCTTGCACCTTCCTTCATTGACTTTTTTTTAAAAAAAAAAATTGGTTGCACAATAGAAGACAATCATTTTCATCCCTCATTTTACTTCATCCGCATGTTACGCAACTCGAATTTAGAATCTCTTATTTTCAACGAAATGAGATAATCACTGAATTATTTAAGTCGTTAACTCTTTTATTAACTTATATAGTATTTTTTACTGTTTCAAGAATTTTCTTCTTGCATAAGTAAAGTCTCAAGAGAAATTAATTTCTTATTGTTCAATGTGTAATGAATGATTTATTAATAGGCAAAACTCTCTATTTGTATCTTATATATTATTTTTTTTATTAAT